CATAGCTATGTATAGCTATAGCTATGTAGCTAGCATATATTATTGAAAATTTGTGGGGTTTTAGTTTCGTTGTAGTGTGAAAGATAGTAGGACCCGAGGGGGCACCAACTTCGACTATTCACGGTTCACAAGGCGATTAATACCTAATATTCAGTCGATATTTGCGATTATTCAAAGATATTCAGTGTATTCAAACGTATTCGCGATATTCAACAATATTCGGCAATATTCATCAGTATTCACCAGTATTCATCAATATTTACCAGTATTCATCAATATTTGACAGTATTCATCAATATTCACCAGTATTCATCAATATTCATCAGTATTGAAGCGTATTCCAGGAATATTTCCTGCTATAGTTACATTACACTGACGCGTAATCTGATTTCATATCTTTTATCTTTTATCTCTACTTGTTGCTTGGATGCCGTTGTTGCGGGCATTCCCTTCTACTTGATAATGACCAGCGGAGTACCAGTCTCACAACGTTTTTGCGGTGATGCTTGTTCCATTTTAACGCTGTCATTGAATTATTATTAATATATTACAACAATCTGTTTGTTTCTTAATCTTTGCCATGTGTACCACAGCTACTGGTTGAGTGATTTCTAATAATATATCTGGAGCACCTTGTTTCTGTGGCGTTGGTAACACTGCGGACCCCATTTGGGCTACGCTCGAAAAAGTCTGAGGCTTCTTTTCCTCTCCTGCCGCTTGCATGTCCGAGTGCGAGTGAGCGAGTGCGCGCGAGCACGATGTGACAGTAAAACGGTCGGTACACCCACACGGGCTTGAGGTGAGTTGTTGGATTGTTTGGCGCGCGTGGTGCTACTTGACTCGTCTGTGTCCCTTGGTAATTGAAAAGTGACAAAAATTGCGGGGAAGATGAGTGATAACAGCGACGGCAAACAGAACGGCGACCAGGAAGCAACGGACGCAAAAAACTTTGTAAGTTGAGTACACATTTCATACTTTCCCTTCAAACATCGAGGTTAGCTCGGTTCTCTTTGATTCTCACAATCTTCTTTCATGACGACACTTCTAGTATCATTATTTGTAGAATTATTTATTTAAAATGCTGGTCCATTTTTGTTGTATGTATATACATTTGTTCGGTTGCGAACCTTCTAATGTCGTTACTAAGATAGACTATTGAGGTTAGTCGTCCACCTGGAGATTTGCCCGCAGTGTTCAGTTTCATGGTGTGGTTCCCATTTCAATTTTCATCGTCAACTTTGAGTTCTCTGAGTCTTTTTTCACTATTTCTCAGTTGTTATTCAACTACTAGTCATGCAAGTTAAATATGTGAGCGAGTAGTGTGTTTGGGTATAGGCCAGGCAGAAAGCAGGGTTCATGACAAACTAATATGTTTTCCCATCTTTATTTCAGGAACCGTCAAACGATAAATTTTGGGATGCTCTTTCTAAAAAAGTCGGAGTAACCATGCCTTCCCTCCTCAAGCTTGTGTTGGAAAAACTGGGCTGTGACAGTGAGTCAGCTTTGCGGGACATACAGAAAAATAGAATAAAGGAGATGGAGGTGTTTGTACAAGAAAAGTTAGGAAAGGTAAGGACCTGATCATTTACACTTAAACAAGACTAATTAAAGTGAGAAGAGAAAGTAATTCCTTGGTGTTACTTACAGAGAATGAGCCCTGAAGTACGAAAGAAATACCTTGGAATGTTTCACGAAGATTACTCAGACTTTGAGTTCCTCCCAGGACATGCTAGCATTCTCTTGGACATTGGCCAAAAATTAAAAGATGTTGAAGGGAAAATCTTTGTACGATCACCTAGACAAAATGTATCTCCAAAACCCAGAACAGTGCGTGCAGGTGAGGATTCCTATTTCAAAATCAGTTCGACATTGGCAGGGCCAGTGAGGCCCTAATTCACAAAAATAATGTGGATGGGGGAAAGGGAGGGGGAGGGGCAAAAAGAAATTCTACTATATTTTGTGATTTTGTGTACAACACTTTATTTAATTATTTTTTCCAGATTCATCTGGTGTTGATGCTGATGATGGTCTTATTGAAGATACCAGGATTTTAACTACAATAATCTCTTCAGAACTTACAAGAAGCTACAATTTAACTAGTGATGCTCCTCTTTTTCTTGTTAATTTAAGTAGCACTTATTCTGGTACAGTATTGTGTCAAATAGGTCCATGTAAGGCACGTAATCATAAGCAAGTTATCTCTAGATCAAAAACAAGACCTTGGAGCACATATAATTTTTATCGCCATGTTCGTAGTGAGCACACTCAAACAGATCCACCGCCCAAAAAACAACTCCGTATGACTGAGTCAGAGGAAAACAGTGAAACCTTAGATGATCCTGGTATTAATGCTGACAATAACAATAACAATGCTGCAGGTAATGATAGCAAAAGTAACAAGACTTCAGATAATGAAGTTAATTAGGGATGTTTTGTGACTTGACTTATGTTTCTTTCTATTTAAATTTATCATTAAACAAAATAGTTAAATTTCAGCAGTCCTTGCTGTCTTATGTTTCTTTCTATTTAAATGTATCATTAAACAAAATAGTTAAATTTCAGCAGTCCTTGTTTTATTTTCTTTCATACATCAACCAAAAAAATATTTTGGAGCTCTGAGCAACATAATTGTTTATTTTACAGGACACTCACAGTACAGTCGTTCAGAAAAAAGAAAAAGAATGCTTACTGTTGCTGCTCTGGGTTGTAACCGATTGACTGATTATTGGCCCATTCTAAATGAGATAGAGAGGGTGGTGAAAGAAAACAATTCACTACACTCACAAATAAGAACATTAATGAGTAGGATTACAGAAAATGGAGATAAGCCAGCAGAAATATCTCACTTTCTACAGGCCCTTAATGCATCAGCTCAGAAAAATGCACAGAGAAAGAAAGGAGGGGAACGGTACGACAATGAGATAAACCTCTTTGCAACACATTTTTTTATGCTGGCAGGCCCAAAAGTATATGCAGATTTAGAAGGTAATCTGCCAAAAGCTCTGCCATCAATATCTACATGCCAGAGAACCATCAAACTGAACAAGCAAGATTTAATTGACGGTCAATACAGATGGAGAGAACTCTCAAATTTCTTGGAGGAGCGTGGATATCCTCGAGAGGTAAGAGCTAGTGCTACGAATTTAAAAACTAAAAACAACCTGTTAGCCGGGTGGAGAGGTGTCTTGGGGTCGGGACGGGCTGGGCACGGCCTCCTGTCTCCTGCTAGCGACCCGGTCGACGGCGGGCAGGGGCAGGGGAGGGCGGCCTGGGCACGGCCTCGTTCCACTCCTGGAGCACCTCGTCGACAACATACGAAGGGTCCT